AGCCCAATTTGGTCTGGACCCGAGGTGGGCTTAATAGCCGGCAACTACTGTAATTTTTTAAGCAAAAATACGGTTGTTTGTCGGCTTATTGTACTGCAATATCCGTCCAAATGCGTAAGGAGCTATTGTGAGTTTAAAAAATGGGGGAAAAGCCCATCTTTCATGGTTTTATTTTAACCTCTCAACTTAGATGCAGAGTCGAAATTGGTTTGTAGCTCATTTGTAGGTGCCTTTTGCGCAGATTTCGTTTCCCATTCGTTGTATTTGTCATTTAATTATCATGTGCTACTTTTTGGATATTTAAGTAACCATTTCCCATTATTTTGTTCTTTTATACGCTCAAATTTTAATTTTTTTCTCTCCTATGATATGACTCGACCGTAAAACTCCCTATTAACACCGCTTCCGTAAGACAGTGGGGCTAGCGATATACAAATACTTCGGCATATGACAATGTTGCCACTCTTTTTATCAAGTTTGTAGTTGGGCATACTCAGATTTATTGGTGACGTCTGCTGTTTCATCAGAGCAAGGTCGGATTTATTTAAAAACGGTAAGTAAAACAGCTGACGCCAAAGCAGCAAAGCAAAACATACTTACTGTTACGGAATAAGTAGGTAATCATGCAAGTTAAACAAGGTGCCTCAAAATCCCCTCCCCCCAGGGAAGGGATTAGTGTGCGGTCAGAATGTATTCGGTGCTGGTCAAACTTTGTAGACTCACCTAGGAAGTAGTGTAAGATCATTTCTCGAGCATCACCATACAACGACTCAGTATCGTCCCAAAAGCAGTTGAATCGCAGTACGTGCCTGTCGTGATCCAAGAACTTGCGCAGTTTGTCAACGGGTGAGTACGGCCTCTTTGGTTGCATAGCCTCGCTGATCTACATGGAGAGAGGAGAAGCAGTTCTAAGACAATGTGTCACTTGAAGAGATCGTGGCGAGCAAAATCACTTCGGTTACTTGGAAAACACCAAGTCCCTGATTTGCAGGCTGTATAATGTGGACAAAGTTAAATCAAGATAGTTGGGTAGTAGCAAGGCGCAAGAATTAAAACGGCGACCTCAGGCTGTTCACGATCAGCTGTCAGGATGACTAAGATGACGCAGAAGTATCCGACGACAGTCCGACCGTCGATTTCGACTATGCCTATTGTATGCTCCACCAGAGGGTAGTGGTGCAGGTATGGTGACTTATGCGTGGATCAGCGTTAAGTGATAGTAGACTTACAGAAAATCACATTTGTATTGCCTTTACAAAAATCTGTCCTCCAACTGCGCCCCAGTGGCAAGTAAAGTAGAGGTAACCAGATATAGACGTGTACGTGGTGGCTGACAAGTTTCAGTTCTCTACCAACGAACTTTCAGGGAATGAGGCCAAGGCAAAAGTATTTTATGTAGTGCACTTCAAATACGCCTAGTCCCAGCATTTTGCTTTACGGAGACGGTGGTTATAGGGTTTTAGGGGGTGGGGAAATAGGATAGACAGAGAAGAAAAATTTTTAGAAGTGTAAAGTGAAAAAAATAAAGTCGATTTTTTTCCCGCGGCCGCTGGGAGTTATTTGTTCTGTAGGTAAGTTGTAGGTGTGCGCGGCTCTTCGCGCCGCGGACTGCACTAGTCTAACCCCAGAACGGTAAGCTGAACCCCAGGTAAGTTGAAATAGACGGCCTCCTAACCATGATTTCTATTTTTCGGGAATTTCATGAAACCTGCAATTGGATAATCGGGCTTTTCCGCAATACGTTAAAGGATAATACAGGTTAGGAAAGTCTACAGATATAAATCAACAACATTTCTAAAAACAATAAAATAAAATGCATATAGCAGTTACTAAAGTATATTCCACTGCCTAGCCTAATTTCCCACCCATAAAACCCTATAACCACCGTTTTCGTACGACAAAATGTTGGGACTAGGGATTATTGAGGTGCACTACATAAACCACTGTTGCCAGGCCGTGTCTCAAGTGAGAGTCATATAACAGTAGTGATATGAACCATAAAAGTCTGCCCAAACGCCAAACTCACCCCCAGACGAAGGGACGTATAGGGATCTTCCGGGACAGGCTCCGGTTCATTCACCCGCACGCCCAGTTTACGCAAAAAGTTCTCCGTAAACTTATCGCAGGCCACCAACCGAATCTTACGACCGTAGAGCTCCAAGTCCATGCCCACATTGAAGTCGTGGACAGTGTAGAAGAGGTGATCGTTTGGCGGTGGTTTTGCGATGCGATGTCTCTTGACAAGGGTTCCTTTTATAGAATTAATAGTCAATATAAAAAATGGTAGAATCATGAGAAGAAGGTGTAGAATACTCAGAAAATAATAATACTTATAAACGCATCTTGAGTGCTTTGCTCGACTTTCATTTTCGGTGACTACCGACCACTGTGTTAAAAGCACAAAACTAGAAGAAATTGGACAAATCATGTGAGAAGATACATTGCCGAACATACGTTTGTTTTCGATTAATTCTCGTCAGGCCTTTACGTTTGTATGGTAATGAAATAACTAGACTATGCTGTTGTTGTTATTGTCAGAGTCGGTGGTGGGGAGGGGGTGTGGGGGGAATTGAGGTCAAAATGTCAGTATCAAGGCGGACAGGTGGTCAACACAGGTGATAAGGTGTGCGCGGTTGAATTGGGGACTTGTCCGTCTCTGGGGTGAGCAGTTCCCGAGGCCAGCGCTTTTTATTTGCATAGAGCGAAATCTCTGGGATCCTGCTGGTATCTGTGATGGACACACTGCATTCACAGGTTCCGCAAGTTAGATAGCTGGATGCGAATCCTAAGCGCTGAGTTTGGGAAAGCTTCTTCTCAAGGACGTGTGAGTAATAATTAAGGAACTTCAGTTATAAGGCGGACTTGATTGGCGTCTTTCTTGGGGGCAAAATAGTTACTCGTGGCGCTCTATTGGAATTGCAAGCGCCCCCGCTCAGGTTTACAACTGCGAACATAGTCGCTCCAACATTGCAGTCCTCAAAGTCCTGCAGAAACATTCATGAATTGTGCCCTCTGAGGCTGATTGCCCATTGATCAGTCAATAGTGCGGTCTTCAAAATACCCCGAATCATGAAAGCGACAAACATTTCAGTCAGCCCTCAACACCAGCCAACTGGACGTCCTCATTTGGTGAAAGCGGCCCTCTAGACCTCTTTGAGCATTGATTTTGGAAGAACACCTTGTCTTGAGCCACATCATGCATTGCACTCCGAAACAACTCCGTTCTTCAAACACGCCTTGAATCCACTATTATTTGTCGTGGGTTTTTCTCTGACAACTGAAACCGGAGGTTGACACCACAAACGAAAACCAAAAGTCTCAACCACACAGCGATCAATGGTCACATCGTTATGAATCCGGTGGGTTAATGGCTTTGCTATTAGTGTTTTTCAACGCAATCTGAACGCTTGACCTTTATAATGCTTTGCCGGCGTAAACCACAGGCCTAAAAGTGTTCTGCCCAACGGACGTCTGGACCTGACGAATTTCCCCTTCGAAAGTTAAACTTTACGAATCATACTCCCTACTGCGTTTCAGTAAGCATTCTTATGGCCTTTTTGTTAAATTCCCCAGACGGAAGACCATTTGGCTGAGAATATTCTGGTTGATTTATTTACTGTTGATTGAACCAATAACGCCTTTTT